GAAAATCTTTGCGTGTTCTTGCATGTCTTTTCCGCGGAGGACCGTTATGCCCACTTCCGTGATGTTGTTCAGCTCCACGTTCTCCCACCACTCGAGATCGAGAACCACGAAGCTGGCTTGGTCAAGGAGAGCAGGTGCATCGCCAATCCGGCAGTCCGGTATGTAAAAATGCTGCACTACCTCCAAATAATTGTAATGCTTCAAGAACCTGGCCAATTCCTGAAAAGCGACAAGGTCTGCGGTGATGCTAACGCCGTTGTTGGCAGAAGCCATACTGGAAGTGCTGGAAAGAGTTGAAGACTATCAGAGAGTGCAATGTAACCATTCGGACTCGGGTGGATCGGGATGATGGAAATGACTTACAATTGATACAATCATATATAAGTGTAGCTGAAGTCTAGAAACAACAATCAGAACTTCAAGTTGTGATCGAAGTTATAAACCTTAAAGAATGCGGAAGCAAGGGGTCAAATACCGATAAAGAAAAGCTCCTGACCGAGTAAAATGCCCAGGGTAATTACGGGTTCAGGTGCTGAGGTGTAGATATAGAATGAAGATCTGAGAAGATGGGCGGGAAGGGGTCTGTATACTCAAGAAGAAAAAGCGAAACGGCGCTAAAGACGCTTAGCGACAAAGCATTTCACTGAGGTAAAGGCCTGAGTGGTAGGAGAGCGCTCTATTAGATTGAAATAATCTTTACTCAAATATCCCACGTGAGAAGGGAAGTTGCCCCAAGTTCAGGAGTTTATACCATTTTAGGCAAGCCCTTTAGTTCAACCGTCAGGAGATAGTGGCCAGACCAACCACCTTTAATCTCTCAGATCTTGTGCCCGATGACCTAGAAAACATGGATAGTGACCAGGAAATCCTGCAGCTGGTAACGTCTTTATCAGGAAACATGTCTTATGCCATGAGGTTCGTGAGGGCCTAAATATAGATTTTATTGATTGACAACCAGCAAGAGTTCCCTACTGTTATTGCTGATTGCTCTGATCCCGCCGCGATATGCCTAGCCTTGGTGGATTGGAAGGCTCTAGTCTTGTCTCGCCAGTTACTGTGTCAATCTATATGGTTCATGATCCTGATATCATGGACCCTAGGAAGTTTGCGTAACGAAATGTATGAGATCTTTCCTTTTGAGTGCTCCCTGCATTCGCGAAATAGGAGTATAAATGCACTATACGGTAATGAATCGCATAGGGAAAGACGACCACGAAGTTTACCACTGGCATATCATTCCTGTTGCCCTCCTATTCAATCGAAGGATGCATATGCTCGTGTATTTTATTCGTAAGTTTATACTTTACAATCAGCGAATCCGGCCTCATTCGGAACGCAGTTCCAGCAAAGTACGCACCACACTAGGCACAGAGATTATTCTCGCACATCTTGTCTAACAGAAACCTGCTAGCATACCCGAACACGACTTCACTATCCTCAACACCTAGTAGTCTACCTTATCTTTTCATTTGACACTTGATTTCCGCGATATAAGAAAGCGTTTCTCCGGCCTAACCCACCCTTATGAACAGTGTGCGCGGTATGGCTCAACTATACTCCTTATTTGTCTACTTGGACAAACCCGCAAGAATCGGAACCCCCTCCATAATATTTTTTTAAACAAGTCCACCGCGAATTATCCGCGACAAGATCAGGGGCCTTTATTTCTGCAAGCGGGGTAGATGATTGAGTACCATAGGTAGTGGAAACACTTGATAGATGCTTATGTGGAAAAGCAAACTGCGTAAGCTGGCAAACAGCACGATTATCAGAAGTGTGTCCCATGTGAGTTCAACCAGATAGCTTTTGACAGTCCTCAACGCTTGTGCTGCCCTAGACCAGGTAACTCTAAAACACACCGTAATGAATCTTTCGAACAAGCGTAGATGCCATCGAGAGAACCTACGTCATAGTATAGCGGTAATTCTAGAAACTATGCTGCTCAATATCCTTTCTGATAGCTGCAGAAGCTTCTAGAACGATGCGAAACTTTCCAACACAGTCGACGGATCGACGTTCCTAGGGACCGATTTGGGCTTATTTTACTTGCCTATTGTGGAGGTATGCATGTTAAGGACTCGAATTTGATTCGCTTGCACTGCAAGTGCGCCCTTGTTGGCTTCAGGACCAGGTTTGAGGTTGTTCTTCACGCAAGCCGAATGGTGTCGTCCGTGCTCCCGAATTGCGGGCCCCGCTATTCCATTTTGAGCATAGCGCGAAATTTGCCCTAAGCTCGTATATATCCGGCCCGAACGTCACTCCACGCGATTAACTTTCTCATTTACGCTTATTGCGCGTTTCAAACGTCCACCTATCGTAGAAATCTTCAGTAAAGTTCTCGGTCTCCCTTAGTGCACCTCGGCAACTTGCACGTACCACAGTCTGATTCTCCATGGGGTTCCCGGCGCTGGCGACCATGCACATGTCTAGAAATTACATCGGTCGCTTTGGTCATGCAAAACCGGGTAGACGTGTATGCACCCCGCGTATACAAGGCTTCATCCTCTGTGCACCCGTGGCATGTAGTAAGGGAGAGTCCATCCATGCGCGTCCCCGTTGGGAAGGTATGTATTCACAGCACCAGCCGTAGAAGGCTCCACGCGGTACGATTCAATACCAGATCTATAGAAATGGTTAATTTTGGAGGGGCAGGAAACACGGAGAAACTAAATGCAGCACAAAAACATGCTTCTCGTCATCGGAATCTATCAGAGTGATCCGTTAGCGGCTCAGTCGTTGGAGTCATGCGCCTCGCTTCGTGTTCGGAGTTGCATTCTTGGTTGGAGAGAGCTGTTGTAAGGTGCTTCGTTGCTTTCGACAGGAAAATTGGGCATCGTCCAGACCACTACTCCTGGCATTGGCCTGTACCTACATAAAGAGCGATGTCTCTGGTGATCATGGCTAAACCAACAACCTCCAATCGATCAGTTCCTGCTCGAAGACTATAAAAAAAATGATGAACACCAAGATCCTGGCTGCTGTGGCACTGGCTTCAGTAGCCCACGCACAGTCCCAGCTCTATGGTCAATGTAAGACACATATCGTTGAGGCCTCGGGGCGATTATACTCAGTATCACAGGTGGCGGAATCGGCTGGTCGGGTGCTACAACATGCGTTTCGGGAGCGTACTGTTCCAAAATCAACGACTGTAAGTTATTGGAAGTTCAGATTAGCTGGTATGATCACTGACATGTTGACCACACCATAGACTACTTCCAGTGTCTCCCCGGAACTGCAAGCTCATCAAGTGCCGCGACCTCAGCTAAGACAACCCAGACTACGCTGGCTACTACTACCCGTACTACCAGCGGTGCAAGCCAAACTACCTCTAAACCAACGGCGACCAATTCTGCGAATCCTCTCGCCGGCAAGACGTTCTATGCAAACCCTTACTACTCTTCCGAGATTGTTAGCATAGCAGCTCCGTCGCTATCTGCTGCTGGATCGGCAGCTCTAGCTGCTAAGGCTACCAATGTTGCCAAAGTCGGCACGTTCTACTGGCTGTAAGTGTGGCTTACAGGTCATGCTACTGTACAAGCTGACCATAGTTCAGGGATGTTCGCGCCAAGGTACCTACAATCGCAACATTCGCGAAGGATGTCCGAACAAAGAACGCCCAAGGGGCAAATTTGGTTCTTCCACTCGTCGTTTACGACCTACCTGAAAGAGATTGCGCGGCATTGGCCAGTAACGGCGAGCTTTCCCTTGCGAACAACGGTGCTGCCCTCTACCAGCAGTACATCGATGATATTGCCGCTCAGATTAACGCTTTCCCTGATGTCCCATTCGTTCTCGTCATTGAACCAGACAGCTTGGCTAACCTTGTCACCAACCTCAACGTCCAGAAATGTGCGAACGCAGCCGATGCGTACAAGACGCTTACGAAGTACGCAATCAAGACACTCAATCTGAAGAATGTGGTCATGTACCTTGACGCAGGACATGCTGGTTGGCTAGGATGGCCTGCTAATATTACTCCTGCCGCCCAATTGTTCGCGCAGCTTTACAAGGACGCTGGTTCCCCAGCCGCTGTACGAGGCCTCGCCACAAACGTTGCCAACTACAATGCCTGGAGCATTTCTACTTGCCCATCATACGCACAAGGGAACGCTGTGTGTGACGAGAAGAAATACGTCAACGCATTAGCTCCAATTCTGCAGGCACAGGGCTTTCCTGCGCACTTCATCACCGACACTGGTACGTTCCACTTTCACAGCACTGTCAACTGTTCCACTAATCGCGTATAGGGCGCAACGGAGTGCAGCCCACAAAGCAACAAGCCTGGGGCGACTGGTGCAACGTCATTGGCACCGGCTTCGGCATCCGTCCCAGCACCTCCACCGACGACCCTCTCCTGGACGCCTACGTGTGGGTAAAGCCTGGTGGCGAGGGCGATGGGACTTCCAATTCGAGCTCCGTCAGGTACGATGCGCATTGCGGATATGCAGATGCTCTCCAGCCAGCGCCGGAGGCTGGGACGTGGTTCCAAGCGTATTTCGTACAGTTGCTCCAGAACGCCAATCCGGCGTTCTAACCGTGCAAGTGCCCGCTGGTCCTGTTCGGTCATTCTTCTATCGTGTATATAGACGTCTTTGGTGTGGAGTGGACTTTCTTTAGCTAGTTTGTGTGTAGCTTGAATGATGTAGAAGCCGTCTGGACTTCTTTCGCATGTCCTGTCCCTCGTCCGCGCCCAATCACTCGTGAAAGCACTACACTATCGACACGTAAAGGCAAGAGTTACAAGGAAAGAAAGATGCATTCTTAAAATAGACGGACATGTTAAATTGACCCACACACCCAGTCCGCAAGTGGGGTCACCGCCCGCAAAGCCTTCCCGTACCCCTGCCAAGTGGACTCTCCACACCCACTATCACTTTCGTGATGGTCCCTTTCTTTCGTTCATGTTGTTCATCCTGAGTTGTGAAATAAACTGGTAACATAGATACTTACTCACGCTGCCCGACCTCATCGAAATACCAGGTTACGCTTGTGGCGCAATCTCCTCCGTGGCGCAATTGGCTAGCGCGTCTGACTGTTACGTCGGTAGCGACGAGGCGATCAGGAGGTTCGTGGTTCGAGCCCACGCGGGGGAGTCACTCCTTTTTGTGCCTCTTGCGCAGGACCATATTTTGCATGTTGCGAAGTGTGGGCTAACGGTGTTGGGAAGCTTAGCGTGAGCGCTATCGGTGCTCTCCGAAATACCGTCCCGCCCCACTTCGGGCAGCCGAAGTGGCCCCAGCTTCCCGGAAAATATTTTCTATTACCTAATTTGTTAGTAAAACAATAATTACAGCGAACATTTACCTTATATTAATACCTATATTATGCCGCCGCGTAGTTAACGTAAGCGTATAGCTACCTAGCTATTTAACAAGGGTTAAAATCCTTTAAAACGTGCGCGCTGGGCGCCTGCAGTAGCTGCCAAAGGTGCCAAGTCACGGAGAAAAGTATCTAAGAAGGCTCCTCCTCCAGCGGAAGGTAACGCTGTATCTGATCTAGTTAGCCTTAATTAGAATATTAAGCCTCTGTCTGCGCAGCCATTGCTAGTAATCGTATTATCTAGTGATCTACCTAGTGACCTGCCTAGTGACCCGCCTAGCGGATGTATATCTAATCTAATTAGCAACCCTACGCAGGGAGAAACTCAGGAAGATAAGCCAAAATCAGCTACTAGGGTATCTAAAGCAGAGTCGCTGTATGTTACTTGCCGCTGGCAGGCCTTTGTAGGTCCTAAAAAGGAGCTCTATAAGCTAAGATTTAATACAGAGTTTATCCTGGAGCACTACTACGCTAGTTAGCTTTAGATATAGGTAAATAAGGTTACTTAAGACTTAGCTATAAAGATAACTCTACTATAAAAAGTAATAATTAGGGACGTTTCTGGCTGCGCGTACAGGCAAAAGACCTTAAAAAGGTAAAAGCTATAGTAATTACTTAAGCGTAAAAACGCTACTAGCTTTATTTATATTATAAAATACGCGTAGCACCTAAGAGAGTCCTTAATTAATATAATATATCTTAACTTTAACGCGACGCTTACTACTAAGTCTATAGAGGTAATTAGTCCTATAGGCTAATAACGTAGCAGAGGCTTGTCTAGCTCCTAGGGCTAGGTTCGACTTACTATAATATAAAGGCAGCTATAAGAGCTGCTAGAGATCCTTGCTGGCTATGCTATTACTAAGGGACCTTTAATAGCTATCCGCGATAAGTGGAGGTGCCAGGATACTTACTATAGTAACTACCTATACGTCTACTAGGTCTAGCGTACGCCTGGCCAGCCTAATCGATTTAAGAACTATTTCCTAGTGAGTAGTAATATTGTGGCCATATGGGCGCGCAACATCAGCCTTAAGAGGTGCAGCATTAACGTGCCAGACGATACTATACGCCTTACTCTGCGTATAGCAAGGGACCTAAAGGCGAAAGAGAAGGCAAAGGAGAAGGCGCAATAGGGCTTAGCGTCTATGTCTATATTTATAATAAATAGCTTTATAAGCGCGATTGCTACTAGCGCGCTATTTATTAGTTAGTTAGCACAAAGTTAGCTACTTGCACGGTAGGCACTTATACCTATAGCGCCCGCTATTAGCTCTATAAGTGCTCCGAGCGTGCCAGCGCCAGCGTGGAAAGATCTAACATAGAGAAATCTAACGTACGAGAATAACATAGAGCTCTTATATTAGACTTAGCACTTTTTTAACTAGTAGATAGATTAGGTAATAGCTGCAAAGGTGCTAGAGATTAAGATAGTATTTAGAAGGGTTGTTAAGGCTAGGCAGATTAATCTGAACATGCTAATAGATAGATCTAATATAGACATGCTATACGAGATTTAGAGAGATAATTTTAAGCTGCTAATCGCACTACTTCTATAACTTCGTAAAATAGCATTTTGGTGGCAACTCCAGTATCCTGGACTTTTAGAGAGTAATCGAGAGGCATGTAGGGAGCTACAGCGGTAAGATAATGAGTAGAAACAGCAGCTGAGAGCTACTTAGGCAGAGGGCGGAGAGATAATCGTGTAGAGGTAATCGTATAGAGGTAATCGAGCAGAGGGCGTAGAGGTGTTATTTTTAACGCGTAGGGCACGGGCCATATCCTATAGATATCGCCTAATATAATTACCTTATTTGTATAATTAAACACTAACTTTCTTGCCTTGTCTGCTCACCGTACGCCTTACCCTTTGTAACTCCACCACCACGCTAGCTACACTAAAATAGATAATAGTAATTAATTTAGTAGCCTTAGATTACCCTTACACTACTATAAGATTACTATATTTATGTTATAGTAGGTGCTAGATTTCTGATCTCTAAAACTAACTTTAATAGAATATATCCAACTATATACTACTAACGATAGTATAAAACCACTCCAGCAAATACTAAATATATACTATTAACTATAGTATAATACCTCTATGGCGCCTACCTATAGTACTTAAAGAAGTTACCTGTAGAGCTTTTATAGTATACACTTAATATAGCTTTTTCTAGAAAATACTTAAATTTATTGTACGCCTTAGCGCCCCAGTAATGCCGCCAGATCTAGGTCTTTAACGCCTTAAAAGTCTGCTTAATTAGATTTATATTAGGTGAGTAAGGAGGCAGAAACTCTATAATCACGCCTACCTCTACGCATATATTGGCCAGCCTTACTAATTAATAGATAGACGCGTTGTTAAGGACTATTACTAAGCATTTTCCTAGCCAAGGACTATAGTGTAGGAGTACTTAATTAGTAATAAAGTTCTCTATTAGCTCCGTAGTAATCGCTCCCTGAAAAATTAAGTGGGCGAGGTATCCGTTAACGTCTATAGCTAGTAGTAAGCTCCACCTCTCTAAGCGCTTGGCTAAGTAGCTAACGTAGTAGGCTATATTAACTTTACTCTAGCTATACTTTTAATCCCCTGTACGCTTATTGCAAGCGCTCTTATTAAAGTAGATAATCTAATTAGGTTAATAGATTTGCTAGTAACGCGCTTAAAAAGCTTAATAAAGACCTTTATAACGCTCCTTAGCTACCTTTAAGGCTGCCTTCCTACTCTATCGCATGGCTTTAAGCTCTCTATCTAGAATTATAAGGGATACCTTAACGTTGTACTTATTATATAAGAAGTCCTGCATCTTATCTATATAGGATATTAGCTTACTACGTAGTATCTTAAGTAACGCGTCTCTATAGCATTACTTAAGTAGAGGTGGCCTGCCACGACGTACGTATCTTAGCCTAATTAGCTTACTAAAGGTTTTTAGGTTAAGCCTATATTTGCGTACTATTTTTAGGTCAACGCTAAGCTCTCTATAGATAGCTTTATTATTTTTTCTATCGTTAACGCGATCTATAATAGCCTAGATAAGTAATTACTATAGGTAGTGCCTAGTAGGTCTCCCTAGATCTTACGGCATTATTTACCTAGGGTAAATATTCCGTGTAATCATTTTATCGCTCACAAAACAGGTGTACGAGAGTGTTGGTGAGGAACCGATTACTAAGTGCTAATAGAAAAATCCGCCAAAGTGGGGCGGGACGGTATTTCGAAAACGATAATAATACATACCATAAGCGAGCGCACCTAGAGGTTAATCAGCCCTAGAGGTTAATTAGCCCCACTAAATCGATCACCCACCAAAAAGTCGCGATAATTAATTAACGCCATATTATATTTAAAACTGCGTACACATGTCTGCAAAGCTTGGTGTTGTAGCTGCCCTATTAATAGCTAAGGTAGTATTTAATACAGTGGATCGTGATACAGGAGCTCTACCCTGCCGAGACAGTCAGTGCGCCGCGACACTAACGCGCCACCCTAACAGATATAGCACCTTAACTTTAACGCGCCGCATCTCTACTAATATGGATCCAATTGAGGCTGCAATCATCGCTATCGACTCACGAGAACCTAGAGAAACTTTCTTATATAGAAAAATTGCAGAAGAATTTGGTGTTGTGCGGTTAACATTAACGCGCCAGCATAGACGCGCCATGCAGGCGCGTATATAGCTACTATAGACTCGCTAAAATCTTAACTAATAATAAGAATCTAAGCTCCTATAGTATATATAGCGTCTTACTTAGAAAGGTCTACCCCCTACGCGTCAGATAATCTAAAACTTTATATTAATTATTACTAAAAAGGATATTTTTATATAATAGGTTAATCGCTTTATTAGGCGCTACCCTGACTCCCTAATCTCGCGATGGACGACTAGGCTAGATAGTAATCGCTATAACGCTAATTTAGGCGCAAGATATAGGCTCTACTTTAAGCTTTTATATAAGAAAATTATAAAGTATGGCATAGAGCCTTAGCATACCTATAATATGGACGAAAAAGGCTTCCTACTCGGCATCACCGGCAGGTCAAAAAGGATCTTTGATAGGCCTATATATGAGAGTCGCCAAGTGAGGCAATCTATCCAGGATGGCAGTCGTGAGTGGATCTCGCTCATCGCATGTATATGCGGCGATGGATCTACTGTTAATCTATTACTAATCTATTAATCTGACGCTGAGACTCTACAATCAAGCTAGGTTAAGGAAATTAACGTTAATTCTTATAGAGTCTTTATCACCTTATTAACCTCTGGATAGTTAAACAACGAGATAGGGCTTTAATGGCTAAAATAGGTGTTTAATTACTATACTAAGGAGAAGGCTCGACGGTAGTAGCAACTCTTAGTCCTTAATAGGTATAGATCTTACGTTACTATAGATTTTATTAACTATTATAATTAAAAAAAGATCCTCCTTGCGATATTTCCCCCTCACGCTACTTATACGCTGTAGCCTCTAAACATCTATGTGTTTAAGTCTCTTTCTGCTACCTACTCTAACAAGCTCTCCGCATACCTGTATAGGAGTTAAGGGCTATTAATAATCGCTAAAAGAGACTTCTTTACACTATTTTAGAGAGCCTAGACAACGTTAGTTACGCCGCAATTAATTACTAAAGCTTTTAAGTGTATAGGTATCTCGCTGCCAGATCCTACACTAATCCTTGGTTAATTTAATAGAAATAAGTCTCTAGAATAGAAATTACGTAAAAGCTCTATTTTAGTACTTAGCGCGTCTAATTAGCGCAAAA